GACAGCACATAACAACAACTATAGGACAGAGTAGAACCACACCATACAGTTTCCAGATCTAGTCTACAGAAGCCGACCGCCACATCTTTCTCCCATGGAACTCGCTGGTAAGTTGGAGCAGGTAACATATTCTAGAATTTCTTCCAAGCAAACAGTCAATAGAATTACCTGTTAGCACTTAGTTTTATTTTTTTCATAATTTAGACAGTACTCTGAGCTGTATGTGAACCATATCGACCTTACGTCATCATCTTATCTTGGGCTATTGTTGTACTACTTATCCAGCGCTTGTTACTGTTGTGTGCCATTGAGTCAGAACTACTCATAGCTGAACCTCCAGTGGGTTTTCAGAGGCTGTAAATTACTGCCTCTCAGGGAAGGATGTTGCACATCCCTCTCCTGCCATGCAGGTGGGTTCTAACTTTGTGTCTTTAGGATTGCAGTGCAACTTCTTACCACTAAGTCACCAGAGCTCCCTCATCCATTACTTAGACTTAACAGCAGGTTTTGCCAGCCTGCAAAATCCCTCAGTGAGTGGACATTCATATTTCTCTGTTCTTGTCTTACAGACTTGGATACACATGCTGGTCATCGTTGGTAGCTTCCTGTCTTACTTCTTATTTGCCTTGGCTTTTGGAGCCATGTGTGTAACTTGCAACCCACCATCCAACCCCTATTGGATTATGCAGGAGCATATGCTAGATCCAATGTTCTATCTGGTGTGTGTCCTCACGACCTGCACAGCACTTTTACCTAGGTATGAGATATTTATTTATTATATTGTTAGAAAAATGAAATCATATGCTTAGGATTCTTCAAGCAACTTAGATGAGCGACTACTCTGTTTGGTTATGGGAAAACTAGACTAATTATAATATTAGTTTTGTCTTTTAAACACAGAGCAAATGGGCGCTCTGGTGGTGTGGCTATCAGGGTATCGCAGTGCTAACGCAGCTGGCAGTTTGAATCCAGCAGTAGCTCTCAAGGGAAAAGATAGGCCATCTCCTTCCATGAGATTTATACCTTGGAAACTTGCTGGAGGTTCAGTCATGAGTCAGTTCTGACTCAATAGCAATGAGTTTGAGTTATGGAACGGTGTCTTCAGCTAACTGGAAGGTTTCTCTCTCATAAAAAAAAATAACAATTGGGTTGGGAGACCTTACTTCACAAAGTTATCCAGAGAGGGCTAGATCCCTGTCTTTATTTGCTCTGCCATTTCCCAAGGGTGTTGGCCTCATTGAATGATTGAAGATGGCTCACCATCCGTGTGCCCATGCCTCTCCCAATAAGGAAAAGAAAATAGAGTGAGGGAAACTTTCTTTTCTTTTCTTTTTTTTAGTATTTTAATAGTGTGACCCAGATGTTGCACACATCATTCTTCATGTTCCATTAACTAGAACTTAGGTATGTGAACTCTGACTGAATGGTTAAAACTGAATGGTTTTGAAAGGATGAGATAGAGAGTGGGTAGCGAGGAACAAAAGGCAGTCTGTACAACAGTCTGAAAACTTTGTAACTTCTGTCCCTTATCTGATGTTCTTCCCATGTCAGCATAATCTGATTTCACATATTGTGTAGGATGAAGATGACATAGAAGTGTAAGTGAATTTTCTATCCATAGATTCTTTGAATTCTATTAAGCACTATTTCCCCTTCTTAGTTTTATAAAATCTGCTTAGTTGAAAACAATACAGAACAAATAGTTGTTCTACTTTTCTTTTTTATTTTGCACACCATCCTGATTTCATTTTCATCTATAATAAGGTTGATAAATTGTGGTTGGCAGGCCAAATCTGGCCAGCTGCCTGACGTTGCAAATCAGGGTTTACTGGAGCTAGTCATGCACATTCATGTATACACTGTGTATAGCTGATTCCAGTCTTAGAACAGTAGAACTGAGTAGTTCAACAGAGACCATCTGACTCTAAGAGTCTTACTATCTGTTTTTTACAGGAAAAGTTTCCCAGCTTCATTCTGTAAATCTCAAGACACTAAGAGTATAAGATTTTAACTGACATTCTTTTTAGACATGCAAAAAAAAATCCCACTTGAGTCATTCTATGATGGGTTTAGTACCCTTAACAATGTCACTGTTGAACTGAGATGCTTCTGTGGTCTCCCTCTTACTGTGTTTTCAGAGTGAAAAATGGGCAGGATGAACTTAAAGAATGCTGAAGAAACAGTTACTTTAAGGTTATGGTCTTTAAAAATTGTTGCTTAAAACAATCATTCTCCTCCGCTGGAGAAGTAGGGGCAATCTCTTCTGTGCCAGTCAGATCTCTGATTGAACAGTACATAACAATTTTAAAAAAAAATCATTCTCGACTCAATAGCCATTGCCATCAAGTCAGAACTGATGAATAACTTGACCCTCCAGTGGGTTTTAAGAGGCTATAAAACCCATGAAAGAAGATTATCCATCTTTTTCCTGAAGAGCAACCATGGATTTGAACTGCTTGGAACTTGTGACTGTTATCTTATGTGGCAAAGAAAAGGACCTTGCAGATGACTTTAGGGATCCTGAGCAAGAGGCAATGGGCCCAGAGTATCTGTGTGGACCCTAAATGAAATTACATTTACCCTTATAAGGAGAGATTGGAGGAGAGTTAAATATACAGGAAGAAAAGATGATATGAAAGTAGTAGTTGGGGTTGAAATGATTAGAAAGTGCTTGGAACTCTAGGATCCTTTCTTCCATTTTCTGCCTTTGGGAACCTAAGACCATATCCTCTGCTTTTCTTTCCACTGTGTTTGGTTGTTGTTGTTGTATACTATCAAGTCAGAACTGACCCATAGCTGACCCTCCAGCAAGTTTTCAGAGGCAGCTAATCATATGGGAGGAGATTGCCCATCCTTCTCCCGTGGAGCAGCTGGTAGATTTGAACCACCGTGCCTTTGGTATTGCAGTGCAGCTTCTTACTGCTAAGTTTACAGATCCTCCGAAGGAGAGGAATTTTGCACGATGATGGATGACTCCAAGTCTCATCCATACCTGATTTAGGACATTGAAAACTGGCCATGGTAAGATGAAATTTTTGAACTTGGGTTGACGCTGTAACAGGTTCAGACTCTCAAGCCTGTTAGAGTAGGTTATTTTAATGTAGTATCTCTATAAAGCTTTGATTCCAGAAGACAAACTCTAATGGGCTGAATAATTGCCTCTAAAGATACCATGTCCTAATTGCTACAACCTGTAAATGGTACTTTAGTGGACAAGCAGTTTCTCCAAATATGATTGTTAAGGATCTTGAGATAGGGGGATTAACCTGGATAATTTGAGTGGGCCCTACATGTAGTCACGTCTGTCCTTATAAGAGAGAGAGGTAAGGTGTGATTGGACACAAACAAAAGAGGAAAAGGCAACATGACCACAAAGACACCACTGGGAATGATGCAGCCACAAACCATGGAACGTCAGCACCACCAGAAGTGAGAAGAAGCAAGGAATTCTAACCTGCTTACCCCTTAATTTCAGTCTCCCAGCCTACAGAACCCTGCAAGAATAAGTTTGTTGTTTGAAGTCACCATGTTTGTGGTAACTCGCCACAGTAACCACAGGAAACTATATAACTGAAATATAATTGACTAGTATTTTTCCAACATTGCCTAAACTCTACATACTTTCATCTGGTTTATTAATATGTCATTTATTCTAGTGTTATGCCTGTGATGGAGCAACTCTGGATATTTCTTTGACAGATTTTTGTTTGTTTGTTTCTTTAACAAACACTTACAGGGCACTTAAAGTTCCAAGTGGTTTATAGATACTAATGTGGTTACTGTGATCTTTTTTAAATTACTCCTTTTTTCCCCTCCCTCTCTAACTCAAGGAGACAAGTGGCAACAGAGACATCTCTTTTAGGTTGCTGTGTGTGTTTCACGATACATTTAAATTTACATAATCCTTTTATGCTCTTTATATCCTAGGTTTATATACAGAATTCTCCAGGGATCCTTGTTTCCATCTGCAGTCCTGAGAGCTAAGCACCTTGACAGACTGGCTCCAGATGAAAGGACAGATGCACTCAAGAAATGGAGGCAAATTGAAAAGATGGATCGGGTAGCATCTAAGAATGCTGACCACCCAGACGTCAAGTCAGGGAGAAGACCTGTGCCTGGCCATTCCGATATCCCTACAAGGATGCCAGCTTCTTGTGATGTTGAAGAAGGACACATATCTGTATGTGAAACTGCTTTAGACTCGGACAGGCCTCAGACCTCGTAGATGGCTGGACCACCAAAGGATAAAAAATATAGGGTAGCCTACTCAGAGTTGCAAGTTTAGAAGGAGGACTTTGAGCTTACTGCTACCAAGCAAGAATAACTTGGATTTTACCTTAAGGATCATGAATATTTTATTGAACTTAGAAAAGTCATCATGATGGCCTTGATTCTGTACTCGTACATATATTTGTAGAAGATAGAGTTCAGTGTGGATAGATTTTTTTTTATTCATTGAAGTGAAATGTTTCATTCAGAATCAAATGCTTTTATGAAACTTTTTGGATTTTGTAAAAGCATTTCCATGACCTTAGAAATTCATATATTTTAAAAGGGGATTCATTTGAGATATATTTATTTTAATGAAGGTTCATCATAGGTCTTGATAAATACTTTTTTTTAAGAGAAAATAGTTTTTTAGGTGATTGGTTAAAATTCAGAGGAGAGATCTACACAGAAAATGTCACTAATGCTTCATTTCTAGATAAGTTCATAAGAGACTTTTAAACCATGCCCCCTCCCTCCCTCACTGCCTTTGAGTCCTAGCTGACCCTCCTGCAGGTTTTCAGAAGCTGCAAATTACATGGACAGACACTTGCCATCTTTGTCCTGCAGGGCAGCTGATGAATTCACATTTTCAACTTTAGCATTCACAGTGCAATGCCTACCTCCAGACCACCAGCGCTCCCTGCTTAAACAATAGTGACCTATGATAGGATATTAATTGTACTTTTAAAAAATATAGTTAGTGATCATTACTAGCTTTCCACTTTCTGAGGGAAGATGCCTTTGGTCTTCTGACAGAAATGTTATCTCTGCTCATTTCATTATCCTGAGGCAGAGTTGAGGATGTTAGAGTACCATTAAGTACTGAGAATGTGTTCTTCTGATTATCATCAAGAGACCATTCATGTTCTCAATTGGGAAACAGAGGTCATAGGTCAGGCAGACAGAATCAGCTAAACCTATGCAGCTCTCTAGTAACTTCCTATCTCTTAAAATTGGCAATAACACTACTCCAACACCAGCCCCCTTCCCAAGAGGTTATAAAATCAATTCTAACTCCTATTGACTCTACAAAGATTCTGAGTTGCACAGAAGATTTGTACTGACTTATTAACCAAAAGTTTACCTGTTCAAATATACCCATAAGCATCATGGAAGAATGCCTTGGTGGTCTACTTCTGTAAGATTAGAGCTGTTGAAAACTCTGTGGAGTAGAGTTCTGTGGTCATGGGCTCACATAATAACTGGCCCATCAGATTGCCACAATCAATATCAAAATAATCTTCAAAAGACCATTTGAGGTATTATTATGATGAAAAAATCTGTAAAAAAAGACCTCTTTAAAGTGTTAAAAGCAAAAATGTCACTTAGAGAACTAGGTATACCTGGCCCAAGCCATGGTATTTTTAAATCGCCTCATATGTAGGCAAAAACTTGACAATGAAGATAATTTAATGCCCTTGAATTATGATAGTGGTGAAGAATATTGACTATACCAAAGTACCTACCAAATGTAAGAACTAATGAAACCTAGAAGAACAGGCAAAATGCTTCTTAGAGGCAATTTCTTCATTTATCTCAATGCTGATACCCCATGTCTCCTTCAGACTCTTCTTAATGACTCTTACTCTTCTATTCTCAGGAGGTACTAGGCCCAGGGAAAGGACTTCATGCTTGATACAGCAGAAGGTTTGCATAAAAGAGGAAGACTATCACCTTGGTGTATGAGCACAGTGGCTGCAAAAGTAGGCTCCAACACAACAGTGGTTGTGAGGATGATATAGGACGTCCTGTTGTTCAGAGGGCTGCTAGGAGCTGAACTGACTCAAAGACACACAGTCTGTACACTACCCTACAACTTGTCTATTGGTATAGCCTCTGTAAATGAACTCTTAGGAACTGAAATGAATAAAGGTGGTTCTCAGGAAATTCCTCTGAGGTTCTTAGAAAAAGTTGGGGGTTTGTTACATTTTTAGGACAGGAATGTTTTTAAATTTACTGTTGCAAATATCCTATGCTGGCTTTAGTTGAAACAAAGAAACTATTTTGTATTAAAGATGGCCACATATTATTAAAAAAAAAATAACCCACAACTTGAAAAGCCTGTATTTTGGTTGAGTTCATTTTCAATTCTCTGTCCATCCACCTGGTAATTGTTAACCAGCAATGGGCCAAAATTTCCTTCACCAATCTTCTGATTTATGTTCCCTGTCTTCATTAAGGTCTTCTTAGTGACAGTCTGTTATTCTAAGTGTAATCTTTCACTGGATACCTGCTATCCTGACTGTCCTGGTCTGACATTTTATGTATCTTTCTGATACTATTACAGAGAGTCTATATACTTAATCTCAAGAATTTCTGAAATCCCCTGTGGCCAATGGAAGTTGCTCTCTGTTTCCTTAAGATTTTTTTTTAAAGTAAACTATTTAATAAATAACATTCACTGAAAAGTTGTCATCACTCTTCTAAATCCTCACTGATTCCAACTGTAATTGGTACCAGGACTTAGAAGGAAAATCCTAAAGCAAACGTCTTACCAAAATATTTTTTGGCTGTTTCTTACAGGGGGAAAAAAAAATCAGTGATGTAATGATGTGTTATCCTAGCAGCTGGAATTCATTCCCTGAGATCATCGTCTTTTGAGAAATAAAAAGTTAGACGTATATTCACTTGTGAATAAAGGGTCAGAATCTGTGATTTAAAAAAATCATCTCCTCAAAGCAAACAAACAAAAACCCCCCAACCAAACAAAGAAGAAAGATCAATTTCCAAGAATTAATCTCTGTGCTGAGTAAAAGAAAATCTTGACTTTTCATGTTCTAGGACTACAGTCTTTTATCTACAATTCCAAAAAAAATCTCCAAAATTCTGATATGGGAAAAATTTTTCATAAATCAGATACAAACTAAGACCCTCAACAGTCATGAGGCTATTTATAATCTTTATTTCATTTCATCTAAATATTCAGTATTTTGCTACAGAAAGAAAATACATTTTTTTTCTAGATGTTTTCCTAGGCCTCACCTATGCAGGGCATGATCTTCTTAAAATTTGCAAAATAAAAAAGAAATTGCAAAATCCTAGATTCTGAAACACATCTGGCTACAGGAGAAAGTTGTGTTATTAAACTTTGAATGATTTCATTTTAAGTAAACATTCATTTATATTATGAGTAATCATATTTTAGTATTTAGTCTATTTGACCCTGGTTTTAGGTACCATGGAACAACAATCAATCATACACATTTTGGGATAGAGTTTGACTACAAAAGCTTTACCAAAAGATTTATGTCTGTTACCAAAATACACTCTCTACACATTGAAGATTCTTAAACTGGTTGTCTGAGACTATTGTTGTTGTTGTGTGCCATCGATTTGCTTTGCACCTAACTCATAGTGACCCTATATACAACAACAGCCCTGAACACTGCTCTATCCTGTGCCAACCTTATTGTCTCTGACACACCTACCCCCGTTTCCCTAGTAACTGAAACAATCCATCTTATCGAGGGTCTTCCCCTCCTGCACTGTTCCTCCACCTTCCCAAGCATGACATTCCTCTCCAAGGACTGGACTTTCCTCACAACATGTCCAAAGTATGTCAGATGAAGCTTCAGAATCCTTGCCTTCAAGGAGAAGCCAGGTTTCATCCTCTCCAGGATAAACCTCTTTTTTTTGCCAGCAGTCCATGGTATATTCAATACTTTTCTCCAGCACCACAGCTTAAAGCATCAGTTCTCCTTCCATCATCCCTAGTCATTGTCTAGCTTTCTGATGCATAGCAAGTAATTGCAAAGACGATAGCCTGAGACTACTAGTAACCTCTAATTTCAGGCTAATCAAAGAGCCACCAATTCCAAAGAAAGCCACCAAAATCAAAAGAAAGAGCATGTTTTTGAGTGTGAGACATATGACAGGAAATTTTGATTTGTGGGAGACTGCTCACCAACCATAGCAAACAATTAGTGGGAGAAACTGTTTGCTTGGAATTGCTATCCCTGCCCCATATCCACCAGAAAATAAAATACTATCTATACCATTTTATTTGCATTGATACTTGAAAATAAGTACAGTATGTACATTTCTCTGGACATAGGTTGAGCAAAGCTAAAAGTCATTCCAGTAAGTATGTACCTACAACTCTAACAAAGCTGATACATGCTCTCGAGCTTTCAGACACTTGTAACCACAGCTCAGTTGCTGATAATTCAGATTTGCAGTGGGTTCATACAAATTACAGAACAGGAGATCAATAGCATATATGTCAAGGCAATTCTCTGAACTTCAAACGTGTACACATAGAAAAGAGTACAAAAATACATGTATAAAATTGCAGGTAGTCTCATGTGGAATGCTGAGGCAGTCCAGGTTGCTGGTAGAGTTTGGTAGGGAATTCTGTTTGTTCAAACGGCATGTCAGTTTGCCAGATTAAATTAAGGTATGTGTAAAGATGTGTGGTTTGAAGCTTTTTAGTGAGGAAAAATACATTATCCACTAATTGCTTCTGAAATGGATGTGTATAAAGTGGCCTAGTGCTTAAAAGCATCTTTACTTTAAAAAACTATTTTAATTATCAGTGAGAGGAAATAGCAACACCAGATGCTGAACATTGGTTGATGAATACTAGAAAATATTTCTTTCCATGCAAAATTTTTCTGTGCTTTGAGAGACGTTTCTGTGACTTAGTTAATAGAGATGAACACAAGAAAACGGGGTAAGTCTAAATAGGGATGAACAGTGCAATTTAGTTGTCTTTAAAAAATTCATAAAACAACACCAATATTTGCATCTGTTCCATCTACGGCAGGTATATGTCTCTTGGCAAGACTTACTCCCCATCCCATTGTCAACACCGTCATTGTCGTTGTTAAATGTCATCATGTAACATATAGACTTTGACTCACAGTTACCTTACAAGACAGAGTCACACTGACACACAGGGGCTACTAGGCGTAATTTTAGGTCTTTTGTCCTGCTGTCAAACCACCGACTTTTCGGTTGACAGCTGAGCTGATTAAACATCATGCTACCAGGGCTCCTTCCATTGTCATGCAGGCAAGCAAATTATCTCCCATAAATATTGACCCAGGTTTTAAACATCTCTTTAAACAGTTAATAGTCACTGAACAGACCTTAGTTCTGAACTGAACTGATCTTACAGGGAAAGTTCTATGCAAACATTTCTAGAAAGTAATGGAATTCTCATGTGGACTTGAATCCAGAATGGGATGTTTTAGAGTGCCAAGTGAGAAGGCTGCTGTCTAAAGGGTTTTGTGCTCAATGTGTCTATTTCAGCCTCCCAAATGTATGTTACTGCTCTTTTACTTCCATAAATTCTCAGACTCTTGCAAAAGTTAGATGAAATAATTTAAGCATGTATCAACCTTGGCTTTTAATAAATGGAAAGCAAATGTCTACAGTGTTAATATTGCAATGTGCTACTATTCTATTATATATGGGACTCAGAGGCTTCCTGATGAGTCAGCCTGGATCTCAGTGTTAGTGACAGGATGTAAAAAATTTTCTTTCACTTGTTACCTTAAAGTCTGCATTGCTTTCTGTCTCGCTAGAGTTTATAATTCCACATTAAGGCCAAGGCCTGACTGAGAAACAAAAGCTGCTTTGCTTTGCCTTGTTTTTTGAAAACTTTCTATTGAACTCGAAATAGTGGAAAAAAGAAAATGTTGAATAAAATTAGGCCATAACAAACATGGAAAGTTGCGGTGCTCTTTTTAGCATTTCCTCCCTGCGAAGTGCTCCGTACAGCTCTCGGTAGGCAGTTCTCCACAGTCAAGAAGGTTTCTCTTTGAATGTAGCTGGAAAAAGTTTCAGATCATCTTTGAAATTAGTTTAGGAGAAAGGTGTGGATGTATATCTGTCTTTCAATCCATTCCATGAAGTATGACACATTGCTGTAAACGCCAGGCCCCAGGACTTTGGAAAAGCAGACAGAGCCCCATGAAGTTAAACCAAATAATGTCCACTGTCCTGTAGGCCGTTCACAAACCAGAGGCCCACCGCTGTCACCCTGTAATAAATAGCAATGCATGTTAGTCACTGGTATTTCAAAGTCCAGATAGGTTCATGTTATCCTCCAAATGTAATAGCACCCAACTCAACTTAACCACTTCTTGGAAAATGCTAACAAAGCCTTCATTGTCAGGCTGTGGGTGCACCATGCCGTTTACTTTATACATGGAACTTTCAAATGAACATTTCAAACTTTAATCTTGAAAAAGATGAGAGTAATTTGGGGAAGTTACTATATTCTTTCTATGAAATCAGGCAACATTTTTTAGTTATTGTCTACATTTATCAAAATGTATCAATATTTTTTAAAAAAGGCTTACTGAATCAGGCTTGATTGCTTAATAAATGACCTCTTTCTTTACTTTTGATCCAGGTTATAAATGTAGAAAGTAAGAAATATAAAACAGTCAAAAGCCCTCCCCTCATTAAACAGGATAAACATATGCTATATTATACTCTCTCCACTCTTAATCATTTTGCTACATGAATGAATGCACTGAGCTTAACATATTTCAAAATCCCTTACATTTCTTGAGGACTTTGTTGGTTCAGTGGTAGAAGGATAATCTTTCATGTGGGAGATCCAGGTTCAATTACCAAGCAGTGTATCTCATGCTCAGCCACCACTTATCTGCCAGGGTTGGTTTGAGTTGCTATGATCCTGAACAGCTTCCAGCAAAGCTTCCAGACCAAGGACCAGAAAGAAAGGCCTGGAAATGTACCTCTAAAACCAGTCAATGAAAGCCCTTTGATCACAATAATCCAATCAACAACAACCAAGCACAGAGATGGCACAGAATCAAGGAGTGCACAAGGTGACTCTGAGCTATATTCACCCAAATGTCAGTGGTTCAGATCCCTGAGTAGGAGGCTGACTTGTGGCAGTTAACAACAACACTATCTTTCCTACTAGTTCTTGGAATGTTTAATGAGTTTTTTTTTTCCAGATGGATATACCATTTAAGAATTGTTTACAGTAAGATGTCATATTGACTTCTAGCCTAGATTAATATATCAATAATTTTCTTTTTTGACATTTAGGGTTAAGCATTGCAGTTGGATGTTAGTCAGTATTTAGTTTCTCTCCAAAATATAACTTAAAAAAGACACTATAATATTAAATATATTCCTGTTTACTATTTTTGAAAAGATCATAGCAGACTAGAGAGGTATATTCTATGCTCCTAAAAAGCGAGGGATTGAGCCATAGGAAAAAAAAATAGGAAGTACATTATGTTAATTGTGCAAAATTCTAAATTTCCCATAACTCACAAAAATTTAAAACTTATAAGCATTCTGTTGTTTCTCTACATGGTCATTTTTTAAAAATTATAGAAATAATGTTTATTAATGGGTTACAAAATATTTTCCATGCATTGTTGTTGTTGTTATATGCTGTAAAGTCACTTGCATCTCCCACTGACCCTATGCGCAATAGCTCTGACCCTGTCCTATACAATTTCACTGTCTGTTAGTACATCTTATCCGGGGTCTTCCTATCCTGTGTTGTCCCTCCAGCTTTCCAAGTATGATATCCTTCTCTAAAGACTGGTCCCTTCTGGTCACATGCCCAAAGTACATGAGACAGAGCTTCAAAATCCTTGCCTCCAAGGAGCAGTCTCGCTTCACCTTCTCCAGGACAGACCTGTTTGTTCTTTTGGCTGTGCATGGTATGTTCAATATTCCTCCAGTACCACAACTCAAAATCATTGATTCTTCTTCTATCATCCGTATTCGTTGTCCAGCTATCTGATGCATAGCAAGTAATTGCAAAGACCATGGCTTGGATCAGGTACACCGTGGTCTCTAGACTGACATCGTTGCTCTTTAGTATGCTGAAGTGGTCCCTGACAGCAGATTTTCCCAATGCAGTTTGTCTTTTAATTTCCTGGCTACTGGTACCAAGAATGTTGACTGTGGAGTCAAGTATACTGAAACTGTTAACAATCTCAATCTCTCCTCTGTCTATGGTGAGAATCTTTGTTTTCTTGATGTTGAGCCTCAATTCATATCGAAGGCTACAGTCTTTAACCTTCTGCTACAAATGCCTCAGGTCCTCCTTAGTTTCAGCAAGCAAGGTTTTGTCAATTGCATGGTGCTGGTTGTTCATGAGTCTTCCTCCAATCCTGATGCCACATTCCTCTTCATAAAGTCCAGCTTCCAGAATGATCTGTTCCACATATAGATTGAAAAGATACACAGGTAGGTTGCACCCATAACATACACCTTTTCTGATTTTTAACCATGTAGTGTTCTCTTGATCAATTCTGACGACTGCTTCCTGGTCCAGGTATAGGCTTCGCATAAGCACAATTAAGTGTTCTGGGATTTTTTATAGCCCCTGTGAGTTGTCATTAGTATTATTATCACATCCATTTTACAAATAAGGAAACGGAAATGCAGTGAACCTTGTTCACTAGCAGAATAATGATGTGAGTTCAGGCAATCTAGCACCATGGCTTGGAAACTATAATTATTAGGCAATCGTGTACCCTAGGAACACTTGTAAATATTGTTGCTATTAAAGCAAAATTGAAGGTTCTATTTTGTGGTGTCCTTTATAGAAATAAACTTCCCAGAGGACTAAGCTATGGTGGAGCAATGAGTAAATGATTGCTCTACTTTGTTCTATAGGCTTTCTGTGAGTTAGAAGAATCGGCTCAAGGGCACACAGTCACCATAAGGCAAGAAGAATCCTAAATAGAAATATAAACACTTGAAGAAGTTGTTGTTATAAATAAAATTAAAATAGAATTCTATTTCTTTATAAAGCCATAGATTATTGGGAATCTTCTTACCTAACATGTGTGGATCACAACAAATTGTGGCTGATTTTGAGGAGAATGGGAATTCATAACACGTAATTGTGCTCATGTGAAACATATACTTGGACCAGGAAGCAATCCCCAGAACAGAGCAGGGAAATGCTGCATGGTTCAAAACAGAAAAGGAGTGTGTCAAGGATTTGTCTTGTTTCTGTACCTTTTCAATCTATATGCAGAACAGATAATTCGGGAGGCTGGACTTTTATGAGGAGGAATGCACCATCAGTATTGGAAGAAGACTCATCAACAAACTACGTTATTCAGATGATACAGCCTTGCTTGCTGACTCTGAGGAAGACCTGAAGTGCTTGCTGCAGAAGGTCAAGAATTATAGTCTTCAATATGGATTGAAGCTCAACATCAAGAAGACAAAGATTCTCACCACTGGACCAATTGCCAGCAGCATAATAGATGGAGAAAAGATTGAGGTTGTTAAAAAATTACAGCTTGCTTGGCTCCACAATCAACACTCTTGGCACCAGCAGCCAGGAAATCAAAAGATTAATTTTACTAGGAAAATCTGCTGTCAGAGACCTCTCCAGAGTATTGAGAAGCAACAATGTCAGTCTTGAGACTAAGGTACACTTGATCCAGGCCATGGTTTTCACAATTGCTTTCTATGCATCAGAGAGCTGGACAAAGACTAAGGATGATAAAAGAAGAATCGATGCCTTTGCATTGTGGTGCTGGAGAAAAGTCTTGAACATACCATGGAATGCCAAGAAAATAAACATGTCTGTCTTGGAATTGGTGAAACCAAGTTTCTCCTTAGATGCTAGGATTTTGAAGATCCATCTCACATACTGAAGGCACATGGCAAGGAGGGACCGGTCCTTGGAAAAGAACATCAAGCTTGGAAGGATGGAGGGACAGCACAGGAGAGGAAGACCCTGGCTAAGATGGATTGACACAATGACTGGGGTTTTGGGAGTAAGTGTATTGGAGTCAATGAGACTGGCTCAGGACAGGGTAGGCTTCAGAGCTATTATTGTACCTAGGGTTGCTGTGAGTTGCAGGTGACTTGGTGGCATATAAAAACAACAATCTTTAAATAATATTGAACTGCCTATTATTCCACATGAGAGAAAGAACCCGGATGAGATAGATGGATTGGTACTGTAACTGGGGAAATGGATTAGATGTGTTGGAGACAGTGAGACTGGCTATGATGGAGTTCAGAGTTATTGTACATAGGGTGGCTATGAGTCACAAGTGACTCAAAGGCACATAACAGCAACAAAAACTTATTATACTAGAAAATTACTAAAATGAGGTAAGTCTAATGGTTGGCCTCTACTTCAATATCAGAAAATTATCTGCATAATTACAATCCACTCTTTGCAGTCTCCTCCTGTTAAGATCCACAGTCTCAGACACCCAATGGAGCTTCACAGAGTTGGGCAGTGTGTTTTGAGTTCAACTCTTTGCACGAATCATTTTTGTCCTAGCGGAACCAAAAATCTTGTTAGGTCACAGAAATAACTTGCCACAAAAGTAGCATCTAAGGGTGCTAGGAAGGACTTCAAAGGAACCAGCAATCACTTCCAGGTAAAGAAAAAGTTAGCATTCTAAGAGATTGTGAGTGTTGCCTAATGAAGCAGTTTATTAAGAAATAAACAGGATGTGATGAGGAAACAATTCAGAATGAAGAGCAGGATACAGCTAAAGGTGCAACTTCTCTGGTTCTATCTCTTTGGAAGTTTCTTCCCTCTGCAATTTTGGGTTCTAAGCCAATGTTTATGTTTGTTGTTAGTTGAGCCTCATGATTTACATACCATTATAGAGGGACATATGGTTTCAAATGTGCCCCTTTGATGCAATTAAGGAAGATAATACGTGTGTGTCATTTAACAAAGGTTCTGATATACATTCTTCCTATAGACTAAAAAAACCCAGCTTTGTTTACTCAGTATTTTGTTTTCCACCTGGAGCTGTGGTACAAAACAGCTGGAATGCATTTAAGCCCACCAGGGCTGAATTCCTAGTACTGTACAAACTGGCCACCTCTAAGGCATATTACTCAAACTCACTGTTGCCAAGTTGATGTGGACTCATGGCAACATTAGGCATTTCAGAGTCAAACCATGTTCAACTGCTGATTTCTTAGCAGTAGGTCACCAGGACTTTCTTCCTCAGTGCCTCCAGGTATACTCAGATCCTCAACTCAGCTAGCAGCTGAGCCCACAAACCATTTGCACCACCCATGGTCTTCCTTCTAGCTAGCGATCACTATAGGAACCTGCTTTTATCCGTGTTTGTGCCTGACTCTTCAATTTCATTCAAAAAAATTACTTTCGTTTCCCTCTCTTAGAATTGAAAAGAGATGAACATGTGTTAGGCAGTGATAATTTTCAGCAGACCATTAAAATTAGGGAAAGAAATGCATTCACACTAATGTTAATAATTACTGCCAGATAGTATAGTAGCTGAACACTTGCGCCCCTGAACCGGGGCCTCTCTTAACAACCTTCTAGGTAAATGATTCAGGGCAAGTCACCTAATGTCTCTGATTGTTTACTGTCTTGGTCTGAAAAATAGGGAAGAAGACAACAGTACTACTTCGTGGGTGATTGTGAGGATTAAATAAGTTAACATAAAACATTGTGAGGGGAGCATGGAGTACAGAAGCATTCAGCTAATAGATGTTAATACCAATACAATTCATTTCATGTGGAGCTCTGGAGATGTAATCTCTAGGGAATTGCACTGCTAAACCAGAGATGGTGTCTCTCCAGGAATCCAAAGCCCTAGAGGCTTTGCAGAAGAAAGACTGTGCAATCCTCTCCTGAGTGAGTCAGTCAATCAATACTACAATAATAAGTGTGTGAGTATATGTCAAAACCCATGTCATATAAATAAGTGTAAGATAAAGGCAATGACAGCCATTAACTCATTAAATACTAAACAAAACAAAACAAAGCTAAAAAAATCAACCAACCTCTGAAAGCAAGACAGAATTGGATCCATTTGACTCATAAGAAGTGTCAAGAGGCTAGATAATGAAGCCTAGGCCACAGTATTCTAACTGGTAAAGATGGGATCTAAGCCATATTTCAGGCTTCAAATCCTCTGATCCTGGCCACGTACAATGCCTCCTTCTGAAACAATCTTCGTGAACTAGAAAATCAAGTCTCGTTGTCTAGCACAGAAGGCTAGGGCTCCTATATCACTGCTGGATGGCTTATGGCCCTGAAGTCTGCAGAAAGGAGAGTGGTCTTTCTTTGATGAGCTCAAAGGGAGATCTAAGTTAATTGTTCATCACTGGATTATTTCTAATTGCCTAATCTGGATAAATTATGTATACTGCATTGAAACTGCTGAGGGAGAGAATAATTTAAAAGCAATATATGATAGGGCATTATAGTATCACAAGAGTCCAGAATTAAGAGTGCATAGTGGAGTGTACCTGGGGTGGTCGGAGTGGTGCGGGGAGATTGTATACCAAAGAAAGAGTTTTTATTTTATTTTTTTCAAAGAGAGGAGCAAACTGAGGGTAGGGGTTGGGGGGAGGGCTGGGCAGGGAGAAAAGAGCAACAACGAATGAATGGAAATCCAAAAATCTCTGTAAATGTTCATTAAAATTATTGAAATAAAAAAAGAAAAAATATAATTTACTGTGTTTGGATTAGTGATACACCAAAAATCCAGTCGCCATAGAGTTAATTCATGGCAGCCCTCTTTAAAGCAAGTGAGGTATAATATTCGGTAAGTGTCCTTTAAGCAAAAATAAAAATATATCCCTTCACTGTTAAGATGTGACAAGGAATCCTGAGTGTGTATAAGTTGAGTTCAGTGCCTTGGGAGAACACGCCAGCAATTAATGAGGGTCCTGAGACAGAGACAATTCCATCACACTCGCTGGCCTTCAGTGCCATCATCCTGATGACTGATAGGATCTTGGTGTCCCTCCACTCCCTCAGGCTGACTAAGTGGTCACTACTAGCTTTGGTTAGAGCTCTAGTCACTGAATTGGTCAAGAGAGATAGACCAGAATAATTGTTCTTCTTCTTGTTGCTGACCAAGGAGTACCTTTATAGAAGTGGGAAAACTGAAGGCAATCCAAGTGAAGGACATGGGAGAGTTAGGAGGCTGACCTGTGCTCTGAGTAGAGAAAAACATGTTAGGAATTGCTAATTTGGTAGAGAAATGCATTGTCAGTCGTGCGTTTATGCAAGGTCTCTAAAGTTTTTGCTTCACTAAATTTCTTGGTAACCCAAAAAAGTAACCTACCATGCATGAGTCCACTGTGCCGGACTCATAGCCAGCACATATCATCCGAGTGGTGATGGTCTTCACGTCAAAATAGGACTGGCACTGTTCCAGAGAAATAATTCGGACTTCTCCTTCTTGCAGCTTAAAAGGCACTGGATTAAAGAAAGAAGTAAATAAAGTTAACTACTCCAAGGTGAAGGTAGCCAAAATGGAAATTATTACAGTTTTATACCCAGAAAGCAATGATAGCCTCTTATGATGCCATTTCAAAATTTTCCAATAAGAAGTGTTCATAGAAATTACCCAGTGGAATAAGTTTCCTTTTACTGATGTGAATATCGAGGCATAAACTATGTGACCTGGTGTTTTTGGAGCCACACAAAAACAAGAGCTACAAGGAAAAGAATGGAAAATATGAAGGCAAACTGCTGCTCCAGGTAGGAGGCAGACAGCTCAGTGTGGATCCAGCTCATGGATTTTGCTTTGCTGACTAGTACAGAATGTCTGTAAAAAATCTGACGTGGCAAGTTCTGCCCTATCCTTGGTGATGAAGAAAATGCGCTTTTGTGTTACAAGGACAAATTATTTGATGCACGAGTCTATCAATTTAAAAGATACAACAGAGATGTGCTAAAAAGGAAAAGGCCATATCCTGATGCCCATAGGAGGAATATGTGGATTCTATCTTGCTTGAAAGTTCTTGCAAAGTAACACAGATTTCTTGAAAGAAGACAACATGAATCTTTTACTGTACAGCCATTCTACAAAATTACATTCACTCTTCCCTTTCCTTGGTGACCTAGTGGTAAGGAGTTATGCTGATATCTCAAAGGCACATGGTTCAAATCCCCCAGTCACTAGGTGGGAAAAAGGTGAGCAATCTCCTCCCATGTGACTTAACTGCCTCTGAAAACTTGCTGGAGGGTCACCTATGACCCACTTCCAATTTAATGGCACACAGCAACAATTCTCCTTTTATCAAGATACCTTAGAGAAAGAAAGAAATCCTTTTTGGAAAAATAAATATAGCATAGAAAAGGAAAGTTTCAAAAGTTGTCAAAGAACACTACCATTTTGGGGGTACTCACAGCATCATTTGGCCTTTCGTGAACATTGTTGCATTAATATTAAAATAATCCTGTGTAACTTTATTGTTCAGTTTAGGTCATTTTAGGATAGAAAGAATATATATTTGCCTGTAGGATGCATATAAGCTTTTGGTCAAGAAGATAAACTCAAATGGGCTGAATAATGTTGCTGTTGTTAGATATTATTGCATCAATGACAACTCATAGTGAGCCTAAGAACACAACAAATCTGAACCCCGTCCTATCGTGTGAGATCCTCATCATCTCTGACACACTTGAGCCTGTTGTTGCAATCACACAGCGCCAATCCATCCTGAGGGCTTCCTCTTTTTCACCGACCCTCCACCTATCTAAGCATGATATCCATTTTCAACGAAGAACCTCTCCAAGCAACATGCCCAAAGTATGAAGAGGAAGTTTTTGTCATCCTTGCCTCTAGGGAGCTGTCTGGCTGCACTTTCTCCCAGAGATATCTGTTTGGGTTTTTGGAAGTTCATGGGATATGCAGTGCTCTCCTCCAGTACCACAACTAAAAACATTTCTTTTGTAATCCTTATTCATTGTCCAGCTCTCAGATGCACAGCCAGTGATTGGAAAAACCATGGCCTAAATCGGGCATGCCTTAGTCTTCAAACTTCAGACACCCTTGCTCCTCAGTTATTTGGAAAGGTCCCTGACAGTGGACATTCCCAACACAATAAATCTTCTGATTTCCTGACTGCTGGTACCCAAGGGTGTTGACTGTGGATCCAACTAAGAGGAAATCAATGACAATTTCAATCTTTTCTCCATCTATCAACATGTTGCCTATTTGAGGATGATGCACTTGCTTCATTTCATGTACTTAGGACTTGTTATTTTTCTCCAGAATAAAACCATCCTTCTTCAGGAGGGACCTGGAAAAGGGCATTATGCTTCATAAAGTAGTAGTAGCTGTCGCCTTTATGTGCTGTCAGATAGAAATGACTCATAGCTGACCGTCCTGAAGGTTTTTCAACTGTTGTTACATTGGTAGGTGCCCATAAGTTGGTTCCTCCTTTTAGCAATTCGGTATATAACAAAATAAAACACTGGCAATTATCCTTATAATCATTGCTATGATTGAACCCATTGCTGCGACCACAGTATCATTCTGTCTAAAAGATCTTCTATTTTGATGAGCCTACTTTCTGAAAAAAGCTCTGTAGATGAGTGGTAAGGCGCTGCACTGCCAACCCAGAGGCAAGCAGTTCAAATCCACCCGCTACTTTGTCAAAGAAAGATACGCAGTCTCCTTCTGTGCTGCTTACACCCTCTGAAAACTTGCTGGAGGATCAGGTAAGAGTCAGTTACAACTTGACAGCACATAACAACAAGGAGAACTACCGCATAAATCATGGTGTGTTTCTCCAGGTCCCTTCTGACAGCAAGTCCAGTACATGAAACAGAGCAAGTGCTTCATCCTCAGTTTTAAGAGGCAGTCTAGGGGAACTTCTCCCAAGATAGATTTGCCCATTCTTGTGGAAGTCCATCCTAGAACATTCTTCACCAACACCATAATCTAAAAATACAATTATTTCTTTGGTCTTCTTATTTCTTTTCCTGTGTAACCTCTGCAGTATATTATTGCTGTTACTTTTCCTAATCCTGTAGATGACCAATACCTGGGCCAACAAGAAGCATCAGGATAAACAGAGAAAAAGATTGAAGTCAAGGATTTCATTTTAGTTGGATCCACAATCAATGCCTATAGGAGCAGTATTAAAAAAAAAAAAAAGAAAGAAAAACAAAATTCCAAAACCAACACACTCAAACATATTGCAATTGTTCAAATCTGCTACGAAAGACCTTTTAAGAATGTTAAAAGTACAAATATCACTTTGCGAACTATTCCATGATCTTTTTAATTAGCTGTATATTCAAAAACTGCACCATGGAAAAAGAAAATCAAGGCAAAATTGATGCCTTTGAACTATGATGTTGAAGAAGAACAGTGAACATACCATAGCCTTCCAGAATGAGTGAATCTATCTTGGAAGAAGTAAAATTACTCCTTAGAAGTGATGATGACAAGATTTTATCTCATTACTTTGCAGGTGTTTATCAGGAGGGATCAGACCCTTGATAAAGTGCTCTAGGGGTCCGTGAAAAGAAATGATCATATCCATGTTAATAAGAAGAGCTGACACAGCTACACCAATGGAGTCAGTTATGGCTATGGTTCTGAGTATAGCACAGGATTGGACCATGTTTCATTCTGTTGTATACAGGGTCACTATCAATTGAAACCAGCTCAATGGTCCATAACAACAACAACAACAGATAAGATAACCCAGACTCAATTATCTCAGTATATGGTACAGTCACAGTCAATATTCGTTCTTCAGTTCCTTGAGCTTAAAAAAAAAAGATGGAAGGAATATACTGAGTCACTGTATCGAAAGGAATTGGAAGACACAGAAGAATTTCATGAAACAACATATGAGCAAGAGCCTTATGGTG